GGACACCACCTACTACGGCAAAGCAGGCTTGAACCTTGTCTACAAAACAGACCTACGAACTTTGACCATGGCTTGAACTGAAGCACTTTTTATTCATTTGACTAAGTTGTTTTATAAACTGTCTCACTTTTTGCCATTGTAATGACTTATTATTTATTTACTTTTATTTATTTATTTGTTTGTCGTTTTCTCCTGAATCCATTTCAATCTTTTCTCTTTTTGTTTTCCATTTTATGTTTGACCTCCCTCTGTTTTGTTCTATGTGTTTAAAAAATGTTGAAAAGCAAATAAAAAGACAATTGAAAAAGAAAAGAAAAGAGGGATTTATTCGGGCAGCAAGGAACAGGGGACACTGGGAAGCACATGACGGAAAGCAGAGTGAGGGAGGGAGGTCCAGGAGAGGATTTCAAGAGGGACAGGGAGGCTGAACGGCTGAGGCTGGTGTTCGGCTACAGAAGCTGGGCTGGGGAATATGGTCCGTCGGGGAGGTTCTGGTAGCAAACGCAGACAAAGGTAAAAGTCAGACAAGACGAGTTTCTCAAAGCACAGTTCTCCTAAGCAATCATGCTGGCCTGTTACCACTCAAGGGAGAGTAATCCACTGGCACAGGAGCACAGCTGGAGGCAGGCTTTATCCAGTGGTGATGAGCCTCAGGTGTGGGAGGGAGTGAGTGGGACTTCTCCCGTCCAAAAACACTAACAGCCACCAAAACCACAGGAACAGACACTAAACAATGTTTCACAATAGTAGTACAAAACTCGGATCACCACACTTTTCGTGCTTACCTATAAGCTCATTTTAGTTTCTTTACTACAGCTTGTGCATTTGTGTTTTTATCACATCTGAAATATTTAATAAATGCAATTTATCTCTAACTTTTGAACACAGAGATCATTTCGTACGCTTTGATTTCATCACACTAGCCTCTTTCAACCGGCTGCCACTGCGTTCTAGGATAGATTTTTTGATTTTACTGATCACCTTTAAGGCCTGTCATGATGTCTCTCAGCTACAGTACACAACAGAAGTGAGTACACAGTAAATTATTCAAAACTCTCTCACCTCAAGAATTGAGATCTTTTCTCTGATAAACATCCATCCATCCATCCATCCATTATCTATACACCGCTTAATCCTCACTAGGGTTGCGGGGGGGCTGGAGCCTATGTCAGCTGACTCAGGGCGAAGGCAGGGGACACCCTGGACAGGTCACCAGTCTATTACAGGGCTACACTTAGAGACAGACAACCAAGCACACTTACATTCACACCTACAGACAATTTAGAATCACCAGTTAACCTCAACATGTTTTTGGACTTGTGGGAGGAAGCTGGACAACCCGGAGAAAACCCACGCTGCACGGGGAGAACATGCAAACTCCACACAGAAAGATCCCGGTGCCCCTCTGATGAACAATCAAAAGTAATTTATTTAGAAATACTATATTGAAAATACAGACTCAACAGTAGAAACTCAATGCAACCAATGTGATCACTGAAACTAGACTGAGTACACCTGTGATTTCCAATGAGTCTAACTGCATGAACATGGTTAAAAAAGGAACTGTGAACGCCATAACTTTTTACCACAGTAAATGCTTCATCCTGTCAGTGAAGCACAATGGGGCTCCATGAGTGCAAAAGCTGTCGTGGAGATTGCGTTTATAGATGTCACCGTGAATGCCTGTGGATCTAAATCAAATACCAAATATAAAATGACTCCCAGCAGAGGCTTGGCAGAAGAAGAACATTCCAACATGACAATATCTAAAGCACCCTGCCAAAATCACACAAGAAGAAAAACATTGAAATATGACCGGGCCAAGTATGTTGCCTGACTCTTATGCACTGGTACATGTTTTGAGATTGTCTTTTGTCTGTTCCAGCGGTTGGTCTAAAAACTTACAGGGACCAAGCATTTACAGTCGAGGCTCTGAAATGATCTCCCTGAGGAAATCAGCTCGGCTGAATCAGTGACCTCTGTTAAGTTCCATCCTAAAACCGATCCAGTTGAAACCAGAAGTTTACATACACTGTATAAAAAGACATATAACCATTTTTTTTCTCACTGTCTGACATTAAATCAGACTAAACTTTTCCTGTTTTAGGTCAGTTACGATGACCAAAATTATTTCTACTTGCGGGTTGCACGGTGGCACCGTCGCCTCGCAACTAGAAGATCCCGGTTCACGTCCCACTTAAGACGCCTGGCATCTTTCTGCGTGGAGTTTGTATGTTCTCCCCATGCAGTGTGGGTTCTCTCCTGGTTCTCTGGCTTCTTCCCACAGTCCAAAGACATGCTGAGGTTAGCTGATGATTCTAAATTATCTGTAGGTGTGAATGTGAGTGTGCTTGGTTGTTTGTCTCTTTGTGTAGCCCTGTGATAGACTGGCGACCTGTCCAGGGTGTCAACTGGAATAGGCTCCAGCGCCCCGTGACCCTAGTGAGGAGCAAGCAGTGTATAAATAATGGATGGATGGATTTCTGTTTGCTAAATGCCAGAATAATGAGAGAGATTATTTTTATTGAATTTTTTATTGCTTTCTTCAAAGTCAGAAGTTTACATACATTTCCTTAGTATTTGGTAGCATTGCCTTTAAACTGTATGACTTGGGTCAGACATTTTGGGCTTCCTTCCACAAGCTTCTCACAACAATTTGCTAGAATACTGGCCCATTCCTCCTGACAGAACTGGTTTAACTGAGTCAGGTTTGTTGGCCGACTTGCTCGCACACGCCTTTTCAGCTCTGCACACAAATTTCCAACATTTTCTTCCCTACACCACGTTGTTTTCTATACACTCAACTGTGTTTTCATCTGCTGTTTAAAACCCTGTCAGTCTTATTTTGCTGCTTTCTGAAGCACGTTGTGACTTGGATTTTGAAAAGTGCTTTATAAATAAAATTATTTTGATGCATGTGCAGTTCACTTCACATTTTTCAGAAACCTGTTTGTTGAAATAATTAGCTAAATTGCCAAACACTTTTGATAAAACTAACTGTTATGGCCTGCAGGATAATTGAAAGTAATCAATAAAATAGGTGTCAGCTGAAGACTGTGCTCCAGATCCCACCTGGCAGGCATCAGGGATGATTGCCCTTGAGCTCCAGACCTGCTCTCAGTCCTTGTTCTCCACCCTCCCATTGCCCTTGATTGGTCCACCACCCAGGTCCCTCCTCCAGGACCCCAGCAATCACCACACCTGGTTATAAAACCTCAACCAAACTCTCAGGCCCCCTTTACACGTAGCAAAAACGGTGCTATTTCAATGCATTTGGTCCTTTGGTTTACATGTAAACAAAGCTACAAGTCACCGAAAACGATCATATCTGAAGACTCCGGGCAAAGTGGAGATTTGGAAAAACTCAGTCTTTACGTTTGCATGTATACAGGAGGAGGTGGAGTTTGACGTCACAGTATGCGACAAAAGTGTCATCAGAATCATATGTAAAAAAACAGTGCCAATATGTCCATATACTTGGACTAACATGTTTCCCAGTCATTATTTTCAAGTATTTGACTTGTTTTGTACTCTAACACCACATTTAGGAGTAGCTCCACTTCTCTGTCGGTCCAAACGACTCTTGTGCCATTATCATTGGACTAACAGGAAGCATTCATGCCATTTGTTGTGTTTTTTCCAGGATTCTGATTGGCTGGCATGGCTTTATGCTTCTTGCTACACTGCCCCCTATAGGTTTTGCATGCTCATAGCAGCTGTTTACGACGTGTTTATGTGAGTTTGAGTAAATTAAGCTAATTTTTTTTTACACGATCTGGTGTGAACATTGTTATTTTTGAAAACATAGATCCGTTTTTGTAAGTACCCAGCTATGTGTCAACATGGCCTCAGTCGGGGCAGCTGGGATTTAATGAGAATGGTTTGCCCTGGTGCCTCTTTGTTTTGTGTTGTAGTGTTTTCTGTGTTCAACCGTAACTTCTGTTGGCAGCTGCTGACTTCGTGTAGAAGCTACTCATGTCTTGGTGAAGACTGTGGCTCCAGTTAGCAGCTGTTCAACTCTGCTGAGAAGTTACTTGTGTCTTGTGTTTTTTTTTTTTTGTAATGTGTGTTTTGAGGCACTTGCTTCTTTAGCTTTTTTTCGTTAGGTGTCGGTGTTGCTATTGGATTTAAGTTTGGTTTTATTTTGTTCATTGATTTTAGCAACATCCACTCATTCTCTTTGTATTATTACAGTTTTTTTTTGTGTTCATTACATTGCTAAGCAATAAATTGCTTTACCTCAACCAAATACATCAGTTTTTTTTTTTTGGTGCATCTAGTTGTACCTATTGGCTGGATCGTACTAGTGTCTACAAGCTATGGCCAAGCAGTTGAAATACCTAAAGGAAACTATTGAATTAGCCAAAAGTAACAGACAAAAGTTTAAACTTTGAGCTCAAGGTAAATAGTTAAATAGTGGGATAAAAGCTATTAATTCTGCTTGAAATAGAGAAGCTATAGGTAAAGATATGGCTGGTTAGTGAGTCAGAAATCTATGCATTTTCCATGCTTCAGTAAATGAAATGCCAATTAACAAAATAGGTTAAAAAAGTAAAATGACTATTTTTATCCCTAATTCTTGTTGTTCTTGTCGCTAGTGATTTTCTCTATTGCTGAAATCTTTTGGGGGAACCGCCAATAATTCCTCTATGAAATAAAAAACAGTGAACTAATGAAGAAAATGATGGTTGAAATGTTAACAACATCCACTTTTATGTAATTTAATTTCAAACAGCATCCATTAAAAAATCCATTCACATGTCAGGGCTGTACAGACGTCACAGAATAAATGGAACCACTTACTGAGGGAGCATATTGTATGTGATAATTCCAATTTACTTCAGTTCAGCGAATACGTCACCTACAAACTCTCTTATCACTACAGTTAACATGTGATATGACTCCCCCTGTGTATAAAAGGTGTTGGCTGCGGTCACTGTTCTTCAAAGGGCAATCTAAGAGCTACTGAAATATTAAAATTGTGAAAAATTTCAGAGCAGTAAACTCTCCTCAATCTGAGAACATCACGATGAACAAATTACTGTGGAGCTGTGCAGCACTACTCACTCTGTTTGTCGCAGGTAGGAGGCTTTCACTGCGTTTTTGCATAAAAAACAGTACTTTCAAGTGTTTGAATAAGAATGTGTAACCATGTTTAGAAATCATTTTAAAGCTTGTAGTTTAGATTGTTAGGATACTGTAGATCCTGTAGAGAAATTCTCAGTGTTGATGTTATTTTGAGTGAAAATTTTCAACAATTTCCATGCATCATTCCACAAATTTGAAATCTTTCTGACTCTTACTTGCAGGTGCTGTAATTTCATTTTAATTGTGTTTGAAATTTTTGATGTTATCTGGGGTAATGTTTACTATCTAAATGTCAATGCAGTGCAGAATATGTGACGCTGAAGCGAGCTGTACAAAGTGCTACTCCTCAATTGTTCAATCTGCCCTGCTAGCCTTGAGAACACCTCAAAAACATGAACTCATTTCCTTTTTTTAATGTATAAGTGCAAGTCTGATTCAAGTAGACTGAATTTAATGGCTGATGCCATGTTTTATGAGATTTCATCTTATTTTGAATCATATTTATATTTTACAGATGTCCATTGGCAGTTTTGATATTTCCCTTTCAGTCAAATTACATTTTTTACACAAACTGCGAAAACAATTCCGCACTTTAATCCTGAACATGAACCCAAATTACAAAAACATACATACACACTGTAACTGTAAACTCAAACTGAGGTGAAAAAACATATTCACCTCGAATGTATCAGGCTGGATGCAAAATACTCATATCTCAAAAACTTGAGCAAATAAAAGCCTGACTATCTGTAGGCAGAACAAAAATTGATGTGTCATTTTGTACATGTAGCTGGTTGAGGTGGAGCTCATTAAGTCAAATATTTATTCACCTTGAGAGGCTGCAAAACAAACTGCATGCTGTGGTTAGAGCACGCCCCAGTATGATCAAAGGGCAACCGAATGGAGTCCTGTGTTTGAAGCTTTTGGTGTTTCAGTGGTTGTTACTGATACTCTAAGACTTTTTTTTGCTTGTCGTCTCCTTTCAAACAGTCAATTCTCTGATGTGTAACACCTGCGATGTGTCGATCCTCGGATACTGCGTCGCCACAAAACCTGTAAACTGCTCAGCAGAGCAGAATGAATGCTACAGTGGAGTTGCCAGTAAGTTACACAATAATACAATAATAAAATTTTGGGGAGAATTTTTTATTACTTTCTTTGAAGTCAGAAGTTCAGTTTTCATAAGAAGTTTGGTAGCATTGCCTTTGAACTATATGACTTGGGTCAAAAATTTTGGGTGTCCCTCCACAAGCTTCTCACAATAGTTTGTTGGAACTTTGGCCCATTCCTCCTGACAGAACTGACTTGCCCTCTTTGCTCTACACATCTTTTCAGCTCTGCCTACAAGTTTTCTACAGGATTAAGATCAGGGCTTTGTGATGGCCACTCCAAAACATTGACTTTGTTGCCCTTAAGCCACTTAGTAACTAATTTGGCAGTATGCTTAGGGTCATTGTCTATTTGGAAGAGCCATTTGAGTCCAAGCTTTAACTTCCTGGCTGATGTCTTGAGATGTTGCTTCAATGTTTCCACATAATGTTCTTTCCTCATGATGCCATCTATTTTGTGATGTGCACCAGTCCCTCCTGCAGCAAAACACTCCCACAACATGATGCTGCCACCCCCGTACTTCATAGTTGGGATGGTGTTCTCAGGCTTGCAAGCTTCCTCCTCTCTGCTCAAAATGTAACAAAGGTCATTATGGACCTTTGTTACAGTTCAATTTTAGTTTCATCAGACCACAGGACATGTCTCCAAAAATTAATCTTCACAGGGTCTTTTGCTTTGTTCTGGGGTAGAAAAGCACATTTCACACCAAAACACTTCATCTCTCGAACACAGAACCCGTCTCTTTCCTGAGTGGTATGATGGCTGGACATTCCCATGGTGTTTATACTTGTGTATAATTGTAACATAACAGATGAACATGGAACCTTCAGGCATCTGGAAATTGTACCCAAGGATGAACCAGACTTGTGGAGGTCCACGGTTCTCTTCCTGATATCATGACTGATTTCTATAGATTTTCCCGTGTTGTATCAATAGCTTTCAAAGCCACAACATCATCAACTGGGCTTTCCCAAATAGTTTGAAGGCACAGTAATCTTAGTGTATGTAAACTTCTGATTTTGAAGAAAGTAATAAAAAAATAAAATAAAATTCTCTCTCTCTCATTATTCTGGCGTTTAGCAAATAGAAATCATTTTGGTAATCCTAACTGACCTAAAACAGTAAAAGTTTAGTCTGGTTTAATGTCAGACAGTGAGAAAAAAAAAGGTGTGTCTTTTTATACAGTGTATGTAAACTTCTGGTTTCAACTGTATATACCAAAATCTGATTTCAAGATATTTACTCCAAAAAAACAATATATTATTGCAATCCACCACTGTTATAAAAAGAAAAAGCATATCACTGTAGTAGCTACTTTTTTTTAAGTTCTGTTCATGATCTCCTCCAGAGTTTAGTGCCGACCTGTTGGACATCCATGCACGAGGCTGCATAGCACCATCTGCATGCAAAAACGAGACCGCCTCCATCCTCAGTGTTACTTACACCATCACCAGGACCTGCTGCTCGACCAACCTGTGCAACGGAGCTGCCTCCAGCCAGCTGCCCCTCCCTGCCGCTCTGTGTGCTGCCCTGGTGGCTGTTTGGAGCCAGTTTTACAATTAATCACTGTGGTCCTTTAATTTCTTCAGTATGCATGAGATAACATTTGCAGTGGATCCCTGTGATCTATTACACTGGAGGGACACTGGCTGCATAATATAGCTCTTCACAGCTTTGTGTGATATATATACGTATATATACAAGTGCTTAACAAATTTGTCAAACCACCACCCCATGTAAGGTTTATGTTACAGCTGCCCTAAATTAACAGCATTGGTAATTACCAAAATCATTTTTTATGTTTCTGTAATGATTAATACACCAGTATGTAGATGCTCTTTAACCAAAATGATATTTTTTAAAATCCTACAATGTATTTTTTATTGTTATCCATGAATTTTCAAATTTACTGTTTTACAAATTAAAAAATAATAAAGCAAATTATTATTTCTTGATGAAGATGTCGAATTATACTTATTTCATTGCATTCCTGGACAGAAAAAATAATTTGTGGTTGTATGTTATGCTTGATTAAGTTCTGACTTCTCAGAGAAGCCCAGTGAGCCGGCTCAGATTTGGGTATAAAAAGGTGAATTCAGTTTGAAATTCCTCATTCCTGTTCAAAATGGTAAAACATCGAGAGCTGAGTGTCAATTAAAGCACTTCATGATGCTTGATGGTACATATATACAGGACTTAAGAAGTTTAGACGGGTGGTCTAATAAATTTGTTAAGCACTATATATATACCCTACAATAAACATAAAACAAATGTCTTTTTTATTATGACTCGGCACCTATTACCATGTTTTTTGTTGCCATATTCTATACATGATGGATGCTATATATGCTATGGAAAACACCATCCATACACATAATGTCACTGCTACAAATTTCCTGTTGTGACACCTGCTGTGTGAAATGCAAAACATCTATAATAAAACATTTGACATGACAGAAATGTATTTTGACTTTAGTAA